CAATTTGATCCAATTAGGGCAAAATTTCCTTTATTTATATCAACCCAAAATCAATACAACCCAACACAACTCAACTTAATTCAACACAACTCAACATAGTCAACACAATTCAACATAATCAACACTATGCAACATGATTCAATTCAACACCACTAGATATAATTCAACATAATTCAAGGTAAATTCTTAAATCCTATCTCAACATTCCATAACCGAGTTTATGTCATCTATATCATTAATAAATCATTTCCTCCAATTTCCTTTCTCATTATAGCATGATTTACAATGCTCATAACAAAGTTCATTCGCAAATTTTAAACATAATTTTCAAATATAACCAAATTCCAATTAAACTTGTACGTATATAATTCAACCTATCAATTTCATGATTCTACTTTCAATTTGGGCCAAATCATTGATTATCATCATGAATCAACCTAAGGTTTCTAGAAAACCTAGAAATTTCTAGAAAAAAATCAAATTTCTTGACCCATTACTTTTTATTCCAACTTTCCCATTGATTATACACCTAGGGTTCACAATCCATCATTTTAGCCCATCAATTGAACTCCCAACATCTCAAACCCTAAACCCCCAATTCTCATAATATACTCTAGATGCCCAAAAATGTAGGTTTTGTATGTATATAATTAAAATACCATAAATCTATCTATTTATGGAAGTATTGAGAAAGAACAAGAACCCCTACCTCAAGAATAAAGCAAAGGAACGAAGCTTTGATGAGAATCCGTCACAAATCCAAGCTTCAATTGGTTGAAAATGTTGATCTTCTCTTGTTCTCCATCCTTAATGCAAGATCCATGGTGGATTTGTTGATAAAAGTGGAGGAAATCAAGGTTTTTAGGGCTAGGTTTTCGGACCTAGAATGAGAGCAAAGAAGAGGGGAAAAGAAAATGTAAGAAATGATCTAAAAATCACGTTTTTAAGCTGCTAAACTCGCGCATTCCGCTCGAGCGTCCCTTTTCCCGCTCGAGCATACCTACTTCCAGCACAGATTCCGAAACTTCGAACAGTATAAATTTTTCATCCGGACTCCGTTTTAGGTCGTTCTTGTGTCCAAATTGAAGCCCCGAAAATAAGCTTTCCAATGGTTCTAGCCTCACATCCAAATTCAAAGTGTGGAAAAAGAAAAGGGCAAAAGAGTGACGGATGTTCGTAGGAAGATTATCCGAATTAAAGTTTTTGGTCCAGTCTTACTTTACCATCATGTTACCACTTCGATTAATGACCCAAAACAAAAGTAAGAGGCTCCAAAGACAATAATAAAAGGGTTAAAAACAATCCCACTAGCCTCAGAAATTCAAACTCAACCAGGCAGACCGCTCGAGCACCTAATCTCGCGCTCGAACGCGCAGACCAACAAAGCCGGCTGCTCGAGCGACCACTCCTACGCTCGAGCGGGAATTCACAACTCTCAAAATTTCGGACAGACTACAAAAATACTGGAAGCCTCACAAGTCCGCTCGAGCGTCAACTCCCCCGCTCGAGCGGAAGGAAAAATTCTAGATTGCTACATATCTTGCGATGTCAACCATCATATTTGAAGAATATGAGATCAAAAGTGTGAAACTATATAATTTATTATAAATAACTTATTCTTATATTTTCAAACACAATGTTATAATTTCAAAATTTTACAGGATAATAAAGTTAGAATGATTAAAGATTATATTGCGTTATGCCAATATTGTATCTATGCATTTATCATACCTATGCCAACAATGCAAGGTCAACTAGATTGTGTACCGTACGTAACCTTTGTTTTAAATATAAATTAGTCTGAAAAATGTCTATACCTTTTAAAAGGTAGAAAAAAAAAATATGTGAGTATAACATTTTATAAATACATAATATATGTGTTGTTCATCGATTATGATACTAAATATCATGTTAACAATGCAAGAACGCTGATGGAAGACCCACAACAATTTAGATTTTAGTTATACTTTATTTTATTTATTCAATGAATTCCGAAACAAATGTAATAAATTCTTATTTTTATTACTTTAATTATGCAATGTCAACATTTTCTTTTAAAATTACGTATATTTTATATTAACAATTTAAAAATATATTTGACATAATCATAAATAGTTTTTTTAAATTCAATCACGTGCATAACATGAGTGATATGCTAGTAATATTTGAAAGAGAAGGTTAGTTGTACATATAGACCGATGATAAAGATGATGATGGACTTACAACAGAGACGATAGTAAATTGACAATGAATAATCGTTTTTTTCATTATTATACATAAATCGTAGTCTCTCTGTCGGTTTGTATAGTTGTCGATATTGTGTAGTTTATTCACCGGTATTATGCCGGAGTTGATTATATATATATTTTTCTAAATATGTGCGCCAATACATATGAACTATTTGATGACTTTTTTATATATTATTTGATTATTTATTGTATATTGTTTGTTACTATACTTGTTAATTGAACAATTATTTTTATTGTCATTGAACAATCGAAATAGTCAATTTTACTTTTTTTAATTTTGTTTCGTGTTTTTACGTTGCAATGTGAATGTTCACATTGGTGTTAATTTATTTTTTTAAAGCTAATTGTATGTTAATTGTAAACTGTGAACATTCACATTGTATTTTGCTGTAAATTTTATTTTTTTGAAAATTAGTTATATGTTTTTTTTTTTTTACTATGCTTATTGATCAAACAATCATTTTTTGTTACCATTGAACAATCAAAATAGTCGATTTTTACTTTTTTCAATTTTGTTTTATATTTTCACGTTGCAGTGTGAATATTCACATTGGTATTAGTTTAATTTTTTAATGCTAGTTGTATGTTAATTGTAAATTGTGAACATTCAAATTATATTTTGGTATAAGTTTTATTTTTTTGAAGGTTAGTTGTATATTTGTTATTTATTGTGAATATTCACATTATACTTTAGTATGTGTTTTGTTTTTTTTAAAAAAATTAGTTGTATATTTATTATTTTCTATGAACGTTCACATTATATTTTAATTTTCATTTAGATTTTCTTATTGCGTTATTTTTAAATTTTCACATTATAAAAAAGTATGAAAGTAGGATATTTAGGGGTTGTTTGAGATGACCTAAATAAGTACATTTTTTATCTTTTTACGAAAAGATATTCAGAAAAGTAAAGAGGTGATGTGATAGAAAAAAAAATAAAAAGATAAAAAGATGGATTATTTTTAAGTTGTCAAACTTGGCCTTATTAGCTTTCATAATTTTAAAAGAGTAAGATTTTAAATAGGATATTTATTAGCTTTCATAATTTTCTCCTAATATATAGATGCTAATTCAAATGGGATAAGTATTCAAACCATAGTGATTATCTAAAAAATAAAATATTTTAAAAAATTAATAAATACACAAAAATATAAAAGATATATTGAATTTTTGTATTTTTTTATATTTTTGGTGTTTAGTGAATTTTTTAAATATTTTTTTATAAAAATTATATTTTTTAAGTATATTTATGTTAGATGTGTTTAAAAATTTAAAAAAAAAAATGTTTAAACAATTAATAAAATTTAGTAAAAATAAAAAATATAAAAAATACGAAAATAGAATTTTTTAAAAAAAATGAAGATAAACATGATGAATAATTCCTCGATAAGGGCATTATTAATAAAACCCAGTTTTGTGTTATTACGGAATCATTACCCCAAATCTCTCTATTTAACCTTACACAGAGTCCAACAAATCTCCATTGAAGACTGCTCTGTTTGAATATCATCATAAAGCTCTGTTCTTCGATCCACACCATGAAACTGAGTCTTAGATCCATCAAAACTGAAGAAACCCTTCAAATCGAAGTACCCTCTTCGTACCCTCTTCAACACCTCGAAGATGTCGTTTGACATCCTCTTCTTCTTCGTCTTCGTCTTCGTCTTCGTCTTCGTCTTCATCTTCATTGCTAAGTACTCAAACTATAGTGATTGATACATCTTATTTAGATTATCTAAAAAATAAAATATTTTAAAAAATTAATAAATACACAAAAATATAAAAGATATATTGAATTTTTGTATTTTTTTATATTTTTGGTGTTTAGTGAATTTTTTAAATATTTTTTTATAAAAATTATACTTTTTAAGTGTATTTATGTTAGATGTGTTTAAAAATTAAAAAAAATGCTTAAACTATTAATAAAATTTAGTAAAAATAAAAAATATAGAGAATAAGAAAATAAGAAAATAAGAAAATAGAATTTTTTTTTAAAATGAAGATAAACATGATGAATGATTCCTCGATAAGGGCATTATTAATAAGGGCAAATTACATATACACCTCTCGAGGTTTGGCTAAATTACAAATACCCCTCTGAGGTTTGAGAAATTACAAATTTCCCCCTGAATGCTATATTTACATAAGAAATTAGGGGGTAATTTGTTATGAAATATAAACCTCAGGGGGTAAATTGTTATGAAAATACAAATCTCAGGGGGCGGGATGTAATTTCCGAAACCTCAGGGGTATCTGTAATTTTACCAAACCTCGAGGGGTGTATATGTAATTTGCCCTATTAATAAAACCTAGTTTTGTGTTATTACGGAATCATTATCCCAAATCTCTCTATTTAACCTTACACAGAGTCCAACAAATCTCCATTGAAGACTGCTCTGTTTGAATATCATCATAAAGCTCTGTTCTTCGATCCACACCATGAAACTGAGTCTTAGATCCATCGAAACTGAAGAAACCCTTCAAATCTTCGTACCCTCTTCGTACCCTCTTCAACACCTCGAAGATGTCGTTTGACATCCTCTTCTTCTTCGTCTTCGTCTTCATCTTCATCTTCATTGCACCTCTCTCTTTATCAAAAGGACGAGCTTCTTGGTTCTTCGCCTCAGGACTCTCTCCAATCTCTCGGTGATACATCAGGTGATCTTATTTTCTTCACTCTCAACCCTAATGTTTTTTCTTCTGAATCCCTAATTGTCCAACCTCATAGTAATTCTCCGAAACCCAATTCATCACAATCCCTGAATTCACCAGAAACCCTAACCCTAGGACCTGATTCCCAGAAAAAACGAACTGTATGTGTTGAAGAAGATCAAACCCTAGTTTTGAATATCCAGAAGGAAGAAACCCTAGATTAAGAATCTGAAAAGATTGAGACTGAACCAGAGAACATGATAAAACGAACTCTAGATGTTGAATAAGATCAAACCCTAGTTTTGAATACCCAGAAGGAAGAATCCCTAGATTCAGAATCTGGGGAGATGGAGACTGAACCAGAGAACATGAATACTGATGAAGATGGGCCTATTGTAAAGGTGGCAAAGTCGTTTTCTGTGCCTTGTTTTCTCATGAAAGTGTTCAAAAATGAGGTGGGCATGAGATTATAACTCATATTATTTTCTGTGCCTGGTTTTCTGAGGAAAGTGTTCTGGAAGGAGGTGGGTGAAGGTCGTGGTGGTGATCACAAGCTGTTGGTGATTGCTGTCCATGCTGTTCTATTAGAATCTGGATTTATTGCGTTCGACCCTGTCTTGAAGAGGAAGATTGAAGGGTTTTACCTTCCTGATGAACGCCCATCGTTCGCTTTCACTATGTCTCTGTCGTACACTCTTCCTGAGCTCATTGTTCAGGGATCTTCTGCAGTTGAAACTGTTGTATTGAAATTTCAGAGATTGGGGAATTATGTTTGCATCTATGGATCTTTGACTAAGAATGGTTCCGGGATATATCGGTTGTGCTTGGACGAGAACCGTTTGGTTCCTGACTTGAATGTTATGTGGGGCATTCTTGAGAGCATTGATAAAGGCATCTTCCTTGATATATATCCCGAGAGGCAAGTTTTTGAATTTTGGAACAATGTAAAGGACAGACTTGCATTGCCCCTCTTAGTAGATTTATGTGAGAAGGCTGGTTTGGCGTCTCCGCCATGCTTTATGCGTCTCCCATCTGACCTTAAACTTAAGATTTTTGAATCTCTCCATGGTGTTGATATTGCTAAAGTAGGATGTGTTTGTTCAGAATTGCGCGATTTGTCTTCAAACGATGATTTATGGAAGCAAAAGGTTGTGGACCAGTTTGGCCATGTGGAGGGATCACAAGAGGGAAGCCACTGGAAAGAGAAGTTTTCAAATTCCTGGGAGACTAGGAAGAGGAGTAAGGAAAGTGGTATGTTCGAGTGGTTTCCTGTGAATTTTGAACATTTTCAACTTTACGGTCCAAATTACCTTTATGGGGTTCAAGCAGTTATCGACGGAGATGATGACATAGAGCAGCCTGCCTTTCATCCTGGGTGGCCTTTGTGAGACCCCATGCCTAGTCTGGCAACTTTGGTTTCCCTCATTGTTATCACATTGGAGGTAGTATTTATGGATACAGTAAGTTTATGTATGTATCAGTGAGTGCTTGGTTAGGTTTTTTGGAAGATAAAAAGACATTTTGAAGCCATATTTTTTGTGTGAAAAAGTTTAACTTGGGTTTTGATGTTTACATGAATGATCAATACTTTGTTTTCTGTTTGTAGTGGCCTCGGTATATTATCTGCGATTGTTTTATGTGATTCATGCATTTGTTAATGGTTTCAACAGTGTGAACACATTCCAGTGATTGACAGTGGAGATTATCTAACAGCAGTTAACATATATGTTGCTTGAGTTTCACTGGAGGTGGATTGCATATGATCGTAGTGCAATACTTTATGGCATCTTTCAGATTTCTCTTCTAAAAATGTGGTGAATGCATATGATCCTAGTGCAATATTTTGTGGCATCTTTTGGATGTCTCTTTTTGTGATGGAAACATGGTGGTTTGTTTCTGAGGAGATTTGCAGGCGATGTACATGCTCTAAATTATATGCGGACAAATATGATAACCTTGAAAGATGAGAATGCTTGTTTGATATTACATGAGAATGCTTGTTTGATATTCATTTTCTGGATAACACTATTTGACAAACGGTTTTCAAAAAGGGTTTGGGTTCTCTATCATCTCAACTTGAAAAAATATTTGGGCTTAGGAGGACTATTTTAGAACCGATTTTAGTTATCTGAATTGTTCACTTTTTGGACTTGGCGAAGAGAATATTCATGTAAAAAATTAAATTGATTAGATATTAATAGTTATATTTGAATCATATTTATTTTAAAATAATAGACTACAAATATAATTTTAAGAATATTTATTTATTTTTTATAATATAAATTTGATTCAAATATATAGTTATTGATATTTAATTATTTTTATTTTTTACATGAATATTTTACTCATCGAATCTAAAAAATGAACATTAATTTCAAAATAAACCTACCAAACTCAAACATTCTCTTGAAACTAGCGGTGCGGTAACTCGTACGATGCACGAAAAAATAGACTATATATATTTTGTGTGATAAATAAATCATCTTAATCTTAAATTATATCTTAATAGCGACAAGCCATAATATTAAGCCATCTAGGTAGATGTTAACAATAATTAACTTACAAAATTTTACAATAAAATTTGATATGCATAAAAAATTATTAATTATAAAAATTGTTGAGAATAATAGTATCACAATCACTCGATAACATCTATACTATATATATAAATTTATTTAGACTTTTAAATCAGTGGTGTATATTATCATTGTGGGATCAAATTATGAATAAATATCAACTTTTAATTATAATTTATAAGTAGTTTTTAAAAAAAATTAATCTAAGTTTGTTGCCAAGCTTATAAAAAGAACTTCTCAAACAAATCATTAATTGATTATATTAGCAACTCTTTATCTTTGATTTCATCTATCAATGACACACTCATATCATATCAAAGTATAAATCATTCTCCATAATTTGAATAATATTTGCATAGTTCCTACGTCATTTTAAAAAAATTAATCAAGATAAGAATGTCATAGTATTATAAAAATTATATAAGAGAATAGTTTTAATCCATTTTATTTATAAAAAAATGATAAAAAAAATATTTGAATTGTACTTGAAAAAATATAACAAATGATAGCTTTAAATCATTATATATCCAAAAAAAAAATTATTTGACAATATAATCTAGCAAATCAACTAATAATAACATAGAGATATTGACAAATATGTAGTACTTCCCTATCATCTTTGTATTATATTCATTAATTTCATATAAATTGATAGTATAATCTAGCAAATCAACTAATAATAACATAGAGATATTGACAAATATGTAGTACTTCCCTATCATCTTTGTATTATATTCATTAATTTCATATATTATATGAAAGTTTTATTCGTCTCGATCCTTCAATAAAATAAGGATCAAGAAAACAAATTTGATAAGAAATTGATTCTAAACTTAATTATTGAAAAAACAAAAATTTCAAAAAGAGAATTTAGAGATGGGATTGAAGAAATACTATAACGAATGACGGCCTTATAAAAAATAAAACATAAAAACATAACAATGATCTAATGCAAATTATTTTTAATAACTAATAGAAAGAATATCAAATTATTATCTTGTATAAATATAGTGACGAAAATCAATTTTGTGAGATTTTTGTGTTGCCTTCTCCCATGCAGCTTTCATTATTTCATTATTAATACTCTTCTTATTTAGAGCCAACCAATTTCATTATTAATAATCTACTCATTCAGAGTCAATAATTTTTTTTTTTTTAATCTTTATCACTTGGTAGATAATAACGAATAATAAAAATTATCAAAAAAATGTTAAGAATTTAATAGGAGATAAGAAGTTATAGATAAAGACATTTCATACGATAAAGAATTTAAAATAAAAAAAGATAATTTGTGATAGGAGAAAAAAAAAATGAGTAAATCAAAATAAAGATTTAGATATATATGTTTTTGATAGATATATAGATTAACAAATCATATCTTTATCTAAATTTTATTATTTTAATTTTTTGAAAATCAATTATTTAATCTTTATCTTTATTTGTAAGCCATGAAATTAATTTTTATAAGTTATTTATCAACTTTTATTTGTTTATTTATGGGAAGAAATTTTAAATTATCTATAAGTTATGAAATTAATTTTTTTTAAATTAATTGTTTATTTTTTATCTTTGTCTGTAGATTATAAAATTACTTTTCAGTTTTTATATGTTTATCTATATGGAGGAATTTTGAAATTCAAATCTTTATCCACAAGTAATGAAATTAATTCTAATTTTAATTAATCAAACAAATAAAAAATGAAGAAAAATAGAAAACGTGAAAAGCAATCAAAGAAGGTTGCCACGTAAGAAAGAGAGTGTTTTAAAATTATGAGAATTTAGGAATAAATATTTGGAGGCTTTTGACAAAGCAACTACATTTGGTTATATATATAGTATCAGTGGTGATAGATCCCACTAAAAATGGACCACTATGCCAGCTCTAATGAGCTGGCAGTCCAGAAAATAAAAAAAAATAAAAAAAACAAAGAGCAAAACATCAAATCAATTAGGGACACAGTATTTTTAGAACTATTAGAGCTCATTGTTTTAGTGGTCTCAAACAATTTTCATATAGTATAGATAGATGGGCAAGAAAAGTCCAACCCTTCCAAAAATAATTTCAGCAAAATACCAATCCTTATAAGAACATTTTCACCGTCCAATTGCAACTTCATCAAACCTATCATCGCATCCAAGCTTTTAGAAGAATCTCTAATTTCCCCCAGTTTCTCTTTCTTTTGTACGCCCGTGTAAATATTTATATAGATTTGTAAATCAAATTAAGCTTCATGTTGTATACAGGAAGATAGTAATTGATTAATGTTCTATTTGATTTGATTTGATTTTCATCATTATAATAATATCTTATATGGATCAAATTTTAAAAACAAAACTACTCCTAAATAAATCATTAATTGAGAAAAAATTACCTACTATTAAGATAAATAATACTGAAATAAATTCATACAGAACCATCTATATTATTGAGATAAATTTTTAAAAATATATTATTTAAAAAATGTACCTTTATTAATAATATCATTTTTTTCTTACAATAAATTGTCTAATGATTCATTCATATAATTTTTTTTCTTCCCTCAAACCCCTAGAATGATGAACTTACATTTTGTCTTGTTAATTTATTCGATGATTTGAAAAGAAAAATTGTATGAATATAATAATGTTTTAACAACAATAATACATCCCTCTAAATCAAAAAACCCTAAAAACAAAGAAAATCAAAAAAAAAAAAAAAAAATGTACCTTTATTAATAATATCATTTTTTTCTTACAATAAATTGTGTAATGATTCATTCATATAATTTTTTTTCTTCCCTCAAACCCCTAGAATGATGAATTTACATTTTGTCTGATTAATTTATTCGATGATTTGAAAAGAAAAATTGTATGAATGTAATAATGTTTTAACAACAATAATACATTCATCTAAATCAATGAACTCTAAAAACATAGAAAATCAAAAAAAAAAAAACAAAGCACAAGACACAAACTTCACTATCAAAGTGGGACTCGCATCCCATTAAAACTATTAAAACTCCTTTATTAGAGCTCCAAAACATTTTTTGTGTTTTAATAATCTCAATCAACAATGTTAAAAAATAAAAATAAAATAAAATAAACTGATTTTTTCTTGTCCAATAAAAAGGACAGGGTTGGGAGAATTGACAGCCCAACCAACCCAGCAAACCCAGCAGAGCCCACACAGTCAAAGATAACGATCAGGATAACAGATCCCACAGAAAGATCATCTGGGCCGTCCATTCCCGCCTTCACTACCTAACTATCTGTCTGGTTTAATATCTCCCTCTCTTTTTTTGCTCTACATCTTCCGCTATAAATAAGGAGAGCAAAGAGTCTCGTGAGAGCATCATCATCCAAAGGCGTCTTCATAAACGCCTTTGTTTGGTTTTTCTTTCTCTTTCTCCTTCTCCTTTCCTTTCTCTGTAAATCGCATTTTCTTTCCATCCAAACACCCAAAATGAGAGAGTGCATTTCCATCCACATCGGTCAGGCCGGTATTCAGGTTGGCAATGCCTGCTGGGAACTTTACTGCCTCGAGCATGGCATCCAGGTATCCCCTCCTTCTCTCTCTCTCTCTCTCTCTATATATATATATATATATGTGCATGTATATATGTTGGATCTGGAGATTTTGAGTAGGAATTCATGTATGTGTTGCTTCAATTGTATAGTTTTGGTCAGACATTTGAATATTGAATCAGAAACTACGTAGATCTCTTATGAATATCAGTTTTATTTAGTAATTTTGTTTAATTCTAATCTCGCTCGTTAATGAGGTTCGCAAAACTAGAGGTTCATGCTCATGATTAAATTTTTTTTACCAAATTTGCAATTTCTGATGCATTTAGTCCGCGTGATACGGAAATTTTCGGTGCGAAATTCAATTTGATAAAATGAAGGTGTTTCTTATGCTTTTATGCTCTGAAATCTGTCAGTTCGAGGTTTCTATCCATCCGAAAATGTAAATATTTGCTTTGGAAATTGGTTGAATTTAAGTCCACGTTTGGTTTGTTTTCGCTGATTGTTAATAGATGCGAAATTTAATTTGATAAAATGAATGCGTTTCTTGTGCTTTTGTGCTCTGAAATTTGTCAGTTCTAGGTTTCTATCCATCCGAAAATGTAAATATTTGCTTTAGACATTGGTTGAATTCAGGTGCACGTTTGTTTTTATACGTACATAAGAGAAAATTTCAT